TTAATATATTATTTTAAATAAAAGACTGTCTAATACATGTAAACATTTCTTTTGTTTTGTAGACCACGTTGCAACAGTCAAGAGGACAACACCGTGATCATCTACAGCCTTCTTAGTTACAAAGACTGAATGAATCTTATCCCTGTGAATAATGAGATTTAGCAAGCAGCTGTTGTTGAAATTTCTCTCTTTTTATTCAAAATAATTAAATGTCTATAGTTGCGAATAAATTTACATCGAGTACAAAATTACTATAGGGTCACACATTACAATGAGTATAAAAGCATTAAAGAAATAATTTATACAATGTACAGAGAAGATAAAAAAATATTAATAAATCCATATGTACATCTTTTTGCATGCATCTGTATTTACATCCACATTTAACATCACTTGACCAAAACATTCAAACACGGTGCATTTATGAAACAAATAAAATGCAATGTTGAAAAAAAAAAAAATGTTGAAACGAATAAAATGCAAAGTTCTATCTATATTAACTATATTAAATGGTTCTTTTTATCTTTACAAAAGGGATTATCGTTCACATTAAACTGAAAATGCATGTCTTTCCAAATCCATTGGACGTTCTTTCTTTCACCTGTTCCTTTAATCAAGATTTTATACAAGCCACAAGCATATGTTAGATGTGCAATAAATTAACATTAGTGATGTTATTAAGCTATGATATTATGCTCCCATTATGTCAGTAATATACTTTAACATGTCAACATCATATTCTACTTAGCTGCATTTTGCTTTTATCTGCTCACTACTGAATGTACATTCAGCTCAAGCAGCATTTGTCATGTACAGTATTTACAGTGCTGGATCACACTCATAATACTCCTCTACATCATACATTTGGTACAATCACAATTTAATAACAAACATAATCTAAATCACACAGGACTTGAACGTTTTGAACGTAGTCCTTTATGATGTTTGTATATTTGTTCCAAACTGCATCACTTAAATGTGAAGTATATAATTTATGAAGTTTTACATCTTTCAAACAGGTTTCTCAAACACTCCCCCATCTGTCACTGGTCGGACAAATAGATTGTCTCGCCTCAAAACTCACGCTATTGGTTGAGCCATGTTGGGCCATTCAAGAGGTTCAAACAAACAAATCAATGTTTTCATAGCATTGTGTCCTGTATAATATCTTCCTCTAGGCCTCTGCTGCTGGATCACCAGATTCTGGTTTCTTCCTACAAAAAAAAAAAGAGAGAATATATTGTTATTTCTACAATGCATGTGATAGAGGAAAATACAGAAGCTGCTTTCTGTGTTTATGAGGCAGCTGGATTGCTTTTTGGGGGAATGGATAATAGAGAAAATAATAAAAATTGTAAAACAAGAGTTAAAAATGGCAGTAGGAATAACAATAAAAATTTTGATTTAAAGCAATAGTTCACCAAAAATGAAAATTATGTGATGTTTTACTCATTGTTTACTATTATATAAGATCTAGGCAGTATAAATCACCATGCACATGTCATTTGCATGTATGTCATACGCAGTTTGAACAACTTGAGGAGTAAATGATGACAAACTGGTCATTTTTGAGTGAACAATTCTTTTAAACCTGGTTGCATAACAAAGCCCACATGCCATTTTTTTGTGAATGACAGCTTTGATTCTGCATTCAGCCCTTTGAGGTTGGCACCTACTCGAATTTGGTAAGAGGCACTTTGTCACACGTGACCTCTGAATGAATGCCATTCACTGCCCCATTGGATGACTGAAGCTTTGGGATGCTGCCTCGTGGTAGTGTTAGCCCGCTCAGCTTCATGTCTCTGTATCAAAGGACACATGAGGACTGAAGCTTAGGGGGGTGGAATCACACTCAAGAAAAAGCAAATCTGTCTAAATGCAAAGCTCTAAAATTGGATTTTTAGATAGAAAATGTGAAGTTAAAAAAATCTTAGACACCATCTTAGACATAATATCAAAAGCTCATAAGGCTAATTGCTTTTTGAGTTAGAATTAATCATTTTGTCTATATATATATATTATAAAAAATATTTAAAATAATATTTTATTAATCATTTACACTTCTATACCAAAGTAAAGTACCTTTTTGCACTTTCTTGATATGCATGTAGTTTACATACAGGAATAGTTCACCCAAAAATGAAAAATATGTGAGGACTTTTACTCACACAAAGGCTACCGTACAAATTCAGAAGACTTGTACAAGTCTTTTAGACTTCATTTATGATACTCTTATTGTGCTTTTTGTCTATTTTGGAACATTTTGCATCCACTTCCTTGTAGGAAAACATTTGAAATTGTTTTCCTACTGAGGACTTTTACTCACACAAAGGCTACCGTACAAATTCAGAAGACTTGTACAAGTCTTTTAGACTTCATTTATGATACTCTTATTGTGCTTTTTGTCTATTTTGGAACATTTTGCATCCACTTTCTTGTAGGAAAACAATTTCAAGTGTTTTTTTTCAAAATGTAAGAAGGGGTTACATTTTGGAGTGAACTATTTCTTTTAAGAACTATATGCAATCACCATAAACTAACACTATGTGCAAACAATTGTCCTTTGTTGGAAAACTAGGACAGAAAAGAAGAGTCATTTTGTCTATCTCTACAGCATGGGCACTTGAGGATGAAGTTGTGTTACCCAGTGGAATTATTGGCCTCTTCATCCATCCCTTTAGACTCTGACACTTTGTGTCCAAATAGTTTACGAGCGAGGAAATTAAGCAGGCCGCAGTGGTTGGTGTAGCAACAGAAAGCATCTACTGATACCATCAGCACCAAGAAGATGAACATTACAATTCCCACCACACCTCCTTTCCCTAACGCCGGCTGACTGACTGCAAGACAAGGAGAAATCAACTCATATCACTAAAGAGTGAAAAGGGTGAACTATTTGTTAAGCATATAATGCATAATATTATTGCACTTTTTGTAATCAATCCTACCAGGTTGTGGGACGGTGAAGTTCATTTTGGCAGTGCTGGAGGAGCCATTGTGGTTTACTGCATAAACTTCCATTTGATAGTTAGCATTGTACTGGAGATTATTCAGCTGGATTTTGCTGGAGTTTCCAGGAATTTCTTTTTCAGTCCATTCCTCATTCTCATTGTTCTGTTCCAAACGAGTGACATTTTACATTTAGATATATGGCTTGTACTTCACATATTTAAACAACAAGAAAAATGCATATACTGCTGAGATAAACTGAGAAGTTTTTGGCTGGACTTCAGACTGACCTCTTTGTATCGTACAATGTAGTGTAGGATAGGAGAGCCTCCATCTTTCAGCTGTTTAATAGGGATGGAGACTGAGTTTGTGTCCAACTTCTTCTCACTCAGAGACAGAATGGGGCTGTCGGGTTCCCCTAAATGAAGGAAAGAGGAAACATCAGATAAAGGGAACAAAGAAATAGTGTAACAGGTTGATCTTAGGGCTGGGTGATTTTGATTTAAAAATATTTTATTATTTTAATTTATATTTATTATTATTTTATTTTAATGATATTTATCATCAAATTATTTAATATTTATCATTCTAAAGTTTGGGGTTGGTACAAATTTTAATTAATATATATATATTTTTAAAATAAGTCTCTAATGCTCACCAAGGCTGCATTTGATAAAAATACAATAAAAACAGAAACATCGCGAAATATTATTATTATTATTATTTAAAACAACTGTTTTCTTTTTGAATATGTTTTAAAATGTTTTTATTTTCTACTTGTGATGTCAAAGCTGAATTTTCAGCATCATTACTCCAGTCTTTAGTGTCACACAATCCTTTAGAAATCATTCCAATATGATTAGCTGCTTAATATTTTTGTGGAAAATGTAATACAATTTTTTTTTTTTTTTTTTTGCAGGATTCTTTTTCAAAAGGATCCAAGTTCAAAAGAACACACACACACACACACACACATCCTACTGACCCCAAAATTTTGAACGGTACAGTTTAAATATTGTTTTGCTCTTAAA